CCGTATAACAACGCTTAAAATACTTTTAAAAATATATATTATTAAAAGTTTTTTATTTTATTTTTAAGTAAAATTTATTAAGATAAACACTTTTATTATTTAGTCGTCGAATATCTGAAAAAGTGGAATGGCTCTATTTCTTTACATTTCTTGTAATAATTATTTATTAAGTAAAAACTTTTACAAAATTGTTTTTTCATAGATCATTTTTAAATAGCGAGTAAAGAGTTCCCATCATTTTTATAAAATTCTTCCCAAAACTTAAGATGTTTGAAACTAGAATTAGGACCACCTTTAAATTAGGACCCACCAAAATACATATTTTTTTTATTTATTCAGTGCAACTCGACGACGCTCGCGACGATATTATATACACAAGATTATAAGTACCTCAAAAATAAATTGTAACCTAATAGTTTATCATATTTTATAAGTTCATCCACTATTAGTACCAACTCTATGTGCTAAAATAAGGTAAAATATGTAGGTAATTATTATTAATTATATTAATAATAATTTGTATTCTGGCCTTCACAGTTCATGTCTTTCGAAAACTAGCTAGGTCCTCTCAGACATGCATACACGTTTCCTCACGATGTTTTCTTCACCGTATATTTTATTACGCAAGTGTATTATTACGCAAGTGATAATAATATAGAAAATGATTATTAAAAAATAATCTTTCATATAAAAAATATTAATCTTAATTTTTTTTTGTATTTATATCAAAATCTATCGATTAGTTTAGAATTTTTAATTTAATACTATCTTCGCTAATTCTAAATCTCGGTCATAATTTTACATCTAAATACAATTAAATAATAATCATATCGATTTCGTGAGATATTTTTTAATAATTTGTATTATTTCAATACTTGCAGAAACCCTTATTTTTTTGCATTCAAAAAGTATTTTATGTTTATATAGTAGGTAGTAGATACAAACATTTGTTGTAAATATTAAAAAATACATATTGCATCATTAATACATAGGTAAGTTTTAAATAAGCTTAGAGTAAAAATATAAAAGTAAAACCATGAAGCTTTCAATCATTTAAATTCCTGTAATGGACGGGAACGGGAGTACCACTCGCACTAAACCAATTTTGTATTTGGAATTAGACTAAACTACGAGCATTATACAATATCTACGTAGTTTATTGAATTTATTTAATGCTAAATCCTTAACTTGCATTTACATGATCAACAGTCTCAATAACATAGTTAAAATCATATATAACCACCAATGTTTAATAATTTAGGGTAGGTCCAGATAAATATATTTATGGGCAGCCTTTTAGATAAGATACGATAGATGAGTATTGCAGGTTTCTGCTATTGATTTCTTTAGGTTTGACCCCAATTTTAAATTGAATTTATTTTTGATTATAATTGCTTTAAAACCAGCTTTTATTTGCCTGTTATTGGATTTATTAAGTTTCTACTAATTAATAATTATAAAATAATGTTATTATTGACTACATAATATGTGGTTAATTGTTACTTCCCATATTGTTAAGAATATAATCTTTGACCATTCGCATGAGCATTATATACTCGTAATGCTCCATTACTCATGATTTATACATATTTACTACATTTTGTTTGAAAGCATTTATTAGGTTTATATCGGTTTAGGGGCATCAAAGAATAGACAAATATCATTTTAGGCTTCCATAGCAAAAACAGAACATGCTTGTCTGTTCGTATACCTACTACTAATAAAGCTATATTTGGAAACTATCGAATATAATGGAGTAGTCAAATTATGAAAAATAAAAAATAGGGATGACATTACATTTAACTGCATGTGGACAGCAAAAATAACTTTGGTTTTCATAGTATCTTTGCGAAATACTATGAATTATAAAATTCTTTAACTCTCGATAAAATGAATGTTGTGGACGCGTAGGAATTTTATTTTATACTAGCGACTCACCCTCTCTCCGCTCGGGTTCGTCCCTACTTATGTTTTAAGGTTTAGTATAGATTTCTCAGAAATGAGATATTTTTCCGCATTAAAAAGTATCCTATGTGTTGACCCGGATAACCAGCTATCACCATACCAAATTTTATCAAAATCCCTCTAGTGGTTTTCCGTGATGCGGTAACAGACAGACAGACAAAAATTCTAAAAACTATAGATTCGGCCTCTGTATAATAATGTCTATTTCAATAAGATTTTCAAAAAAATATTTAATGTACAGATACAACCTCGTTACAATTTTATTATATGTATAGATTTAACTACGTACGTACATTTCAAATTACGTAAGTTAAACCGTAGCAGAAATGTTTGGTTGTTCATAAACCTCGGTGCGCAAGTCAAGCTCAAACTTGTTAATCAGCAAAATAATAATATGATTTTTTTGAGTTTATTTCTAATTTCAATCGTAAATAATTTTTTATCACATCTATTTCAATCAGAATTTAGCAATCGCTGCAGAAACAATTTTTTAAATATAATAACTTGGTTTTAAATTTTTTAAATGTACTGCGCCAACCCCAAGTGATTGGGAAATGGGCAGGGAGATGATGATGATGGTTTTAAATTAAAATATTATACTTAAATTTACACAAATATCTGTAATGTAATCTCTCCTCCTATAGTATCTTACACTAAATATTAAAGCTGTGTTTAATAGTGATGAAATAACGTTACACTTACAATGGTCACGATAAAGTTGCCATGTGTGAGGGGTGGGGAGTGGGGAGTGCACAACATGTACCAATATCGTGAAAAGTATTTATATGGTTAATAGAACCATTTGAAAACCAACCTACACTAGCTGGCATAAAGTGATACATAACTACTCCTACTACTACGCCGCCACGCACTTGTTAAATATTTTAATAAAAAAGGAGCAGAGGTTTTGCATAAATAATTACTAAATCAGATAAGTAGATTTCTTTGACAAATATGTAAAAAGCTTTTATTACTTTTCATCGTAATTATTTCCTCTATTTTCATAAAGGCGTTAGCGAAGAGCTTTTGCCAGCGCGAACTCGTTTTGCTCGATGCATTGACTCATTAAATATATGAAATAAGGTCTTTTCTTACACGTGCCCGCTTTCTTTTAACCTAAATTGCACTTAGAAGTCGTCCTGTTTGGTAGCTTAAGCCTTTAAAGTTAAATTAACTTGTAATTTTTAAGCCTTCTGTTAGTGAGTAGTGAGTATGTATACAATATTGTCCTACGCCGTAATATTTCCGGTTAGGCATTGAATTAAAAAAAAAACATGTTCCTTGAGACCAACGTCAGATATGACTTATTGAACTTTAATAAGGTATATTTAATAAGGTTAATCAATTATAACATATTAAAAATGTTCATTGTTGAAGTTAATAATGTTTTATACTTTTTATTTTATTCTTTTTTTAAATCTTATATAAGCGTATGGCTTGCGAAAACATAACTCAAGAAGACAATTCGATACTTTAAATTAAATGTAAAAATGTTTATTCACGATATAAATATTTATTTATTTAATCATTTATTTCAGGTAATATTTACAAAAGTATCTTAAATATGTAAACAGAAGCCCAAAATATATATAAATAGAATTTTTCGATTAGGCCTATTCTACAACTTTGAAAATATTAATAATTTATTTATTTATTAAACAATTGTATAATGTTTGTATAACGCTATTTTCTTTAACATTTTCCGATTTTATAATATTTCATGTTATTTGATAACGGTGGTGCCTATTTTAATAGCTAGGATGTAGCTGGCTACAGCGCGCAGAACAACCATGCGAACAGAACTGCAGGCGAGATTACTCTAGGAAATGAAATGCGAGAACGAAGTTGGATAAGTAGTTAATAGGATACATCTATAGTAGCTCCCCACTCTGAGATATCGTCATCATTTTTTCAATTATTTAAATAATATGTTGTCATGAAAGAAATATTAAATTAATGATCAATGGCAGTACAAAAACTACAAAGTATGTTCTTCATGCTTATACTAACATTCAACTAATTTCCTCGTCAATGATATTATTAGCCTCTCAAGTGTAAAACATCCTTGATATTATTATAATGATACTATCATTCATTCTAATAAATGCCATTTGTACGCTATACCTATTAAACTACAACCATGATTATGAATGAATGGTTCTGCAGCTTGAAGTATAGTATAAGTGATGCTTCTAATATCTAAAAAGCGTTGTCGTCAACTACCTACATCTGGATCAGATATGTAACTTACCATAAGCACATTAATGCCAATTTTTTTGTCCAATTATTTAATTTTTGGAAATCATCGACGATCTATATACACATCGCTTTCCGGTTTACAAGTGGTTAAGATATATCTGTTCCGATTGGATAATGAATACATAAAAAGTAAGAAAAAGTAAACTTATTGGGATACATTAAACATTGGATAACTTTGATTTAGCCTTGCTCTATTCCCTATTACATAAACTTCTACATACATAGCTCTATAACGCTACAAAGCTACAGAATCTAATTCAATCAGAATTTCAAGTTGGAGTAATTGCATTATTGTTAGACAGCCCTATTAGGCACATGTAGTAGTCAGTGATACTGATGCATTGATGATTTAGATTATTAAAGCCGATTATATTCATTTCCTTCTTTACAGATATATCTTAAACACGTATCCCTTACGGTTATATTTACTATTAATACAGTTAATACCCGAAAACCTAAAAACATTAATCGATATGCTAAGACTCTAAACGGCGCTGAAAAGGAGATTTTGCAACGCTGTTAACGAGAAGTTATTGAGGAATGATACCGATGCATCCGGTCAGGGAGTCGGTCGGAAGGATCCTAAGGCCTACTTTCCCCTAGGAAAGCACATGAGCGCGTGCACAGCTTCGTTATGCACCTTTAAACAGAGCTCGATACCGAATCTGATGTCCAGAAAGTGAAACGTCAAATGATTTGCACTAAATATTGGTGGGCGCGTGAGTGATGCCCGGTCGGTCGGAGCGCGGCGCGGCACACACTAGGGCGGGCGGTCACGGCAGCGTTACGTCAGCGCGGGACGCGGGGGGCGAGCGGCGCGAGGGGAGCGCGGACGGGGGTGGAGGGAGAGGGCAGGCGGGGAGCCCCGCACTGCTGCATCCTCGGGCGCCCATCTTTACCCGGCTTGCCTGAAAAACGTGCCATCTTTCGCCTCCGCGCTCTCCAAGGACTGTGACGATCCACACGCATTTATATGCTGCAGAATCTGTCATTATTATCCGTAATACACTACTACGTATTCAAAATTTGTTATTCATATATACTTATCTATACTAATATTATAAAGATGTAAAGTTTGCGAATAGTGCGTTTATGACGTTGTAGGGGGTAATCTCTGGATCTACTGAACTGATTTAGATGAATTTTTGGTAAGAAGATAGTTTGAGACCCTGGGAAGGGCATAGGATACTTTTTATCCCGGAAATCATCCCTTAAGGGGGTGAAAATAGGGATGAAAGTTTGTATTGTGAAGCAAGCTATAGACGAACCCGAGCGTAGCGAGGGTGAGTTGCTAGTTTATTATAAAATTATTGAATTCTATTTTATTTCTTATATATAAACTTTAATAAGCACGAGATAAATATAAGTTTAAAAAAACTAAGATAATTTAAAAAAAACGATAATATCTATTACTTTCTCTTTTATGACTAACTAGAGACTCACCCCGCGGGTTCGTCCATAGGGTATGTATAATACAACTTCCCTATTTGAATCGGATATTATTAAATTTTTCATTGTTTTTAATTTTTTTTGTGGGACCTCTATCTTTTTCTAAAATAAAAGTAGCCAAGTTACTCCTTATTACATCAGCTATCTGGCGGTGAAAGTCCCGTCAAAACCGGTCCAACTATTTTAGAGATTAGCCGGAACAAACATACAGACAGACAGACAGACAAAAATTGTAAAAAATGTTGTTTTGGTATATGTACCGTGTATACATCCATATGCATTTAGTAAAAAGCTGTTATTTTGACATTACAAAGAGACACTTTAATTTTATTCCTAAAAATCAACGAACAATAAAACCTTGGATAACTCAAGGAGTATTACGCTGTATACGAAACAGAAATAAAATGAAAAAACAATTAAAATGTAATCCTGATGATGAAATACTTAAAATAACATATAAAAGATATCGTAATTTCTGTAATAATTTAATAAGGAAATTGAAACGGGTATATGATAGGAAACTATTACTTGCTAAAAATTCTAAAGTGCTATGGAACAACATTTAAAATTTAACCAATTTAAAACATATTAAAACAACAAATATTGAGTTACTAGACATTGAGTCGTGTCCTGTCAAAGCCATTAACTTAGTAAATAGTTTTTTTGCTAATGTTGGACCAAATCTTGCTAAGGAAATTGAAACTAATAACCAATTGTTACAGCACAGTAAACGAATTCTTAATCCTAATTATCAATTGTCATACTTTGTTTTTTTAAATACCGATCACGAAGAGGTCACTTCTATCCTCATGAATTTAAAATCAGATAGTGCGGCTGGTTTTCACAATATCCCTACAAAATTCTTAAAACGCTCAAAAGAGTTAATAGTCCCTATTCTCACTTATTTAGGAAATCTATGCTTTACGAAAGGTGTGTTCCCTTCGCTGATGAAGCAATCAATTATTACTCCTTTATATAAGAATGGGGATAGAACTCAAATCAATAATTACAGGCCAATTTCAGTCTTAACGGGTATCTCTAAAATAATAGAAAAACTAATTAATAACAGAATAATTCAATACCTAAATAAATTTAATATTTTGTCCGCATCGCAATATGGTTTTAGACAAGGAAAATGTACGCAAGATGCCATTCTAGATTTAACCTCGTGTATTGTCGATCATCTTGATAATAAAAATATATGTCTGACTGTCTTTCTGGACCTAAAAAAGGCATTCGACACTGTATCTATCCCCATCCTTATAAAAAAATTAGAAAATATTGGTATTAGAGAAAATCAGCTTAACCTAAAGAAGGATTATCTAAGTGATCGGAATCAGCGAGTAAAAATAGGAGACTATACAAGCAATGACCTCAAAATGACCTTCGGTGTTCCACAAGGTAGTGTCTTAAGACCTATCTTGTTTTTAATATATATAAATGACATATGTAACTTAGAAATAGAAAATGGGCATATTTATTCATACGCAGATGACACTGCTATAGTTTTTCATGGCAAAACATGGGAAGAAGTTCATAGTACTGCAGAAATAGGTTTAATAAAAATATCTAGTTGGCTTAAATCTAACGTTCTTACACTAAACACACATAAATCAAATCATATATGTTTCTCAATAATAAAAAAAACTCAGCCTACATCACCAAAATTACAAATACACCACTGTAAGGATCAGAGTATGAATTGCATGTGTCCTAGCATTGATAAAATAGATTCAATCAAATACATAGGCATAGTTATTGATCAAAGATTATCTTGGCACTCCCATCTGGAACTACGATATATATATATGAAATATATGCTTGATAAAGCAGATAGATATGATATATATGCTTGATAAAGCAGAATTAGAAAACTTATTTGGATTTTTAAAACCTTAAGATATGTTGCAACAAATAAAATTCTAAACCAAGTCTATACAGCTCTTGCTGAATCAATTTTGTCATACTGCATCCCAGTATGGGGAGGAGCATCAAAAATTAAATTCCTAGAATTAGAACGTAGTCAACGGGCCTTACTAAAAGTTATGTTCTGTAAACCATATCGTTTCCCTACAAAAGAGCTAAACTCCATTAACAACTTACTAAGTGTAAGAAAGATGTTACAATTAATACTACAGAGGCATAAAACAGTAACTGTAGATATAAACACGAAGACAAAAAGACGAGTTAACATTAGAGTAGAAACAGGTATTGTAAAAACTAAATTTGCTAGTCATCAGTTTGCTAAGAAATCAGCTTCTATATACAAAAAGGTGAATGGTATGATAAAAATATTTTTGCTAAATAATTATGAACTAAAAAAGTCCCTGACTGCCTGGCTTGCAAAATTAAATTATGAAGAAGCAGAAGCTTTATTCGATGAATTTACCTAAATTTCCACTCCAACCTGTATAATACCTGGGTTTTTTTTTTGATCAGAATTACTTGCAATTTGGTATTAATGATCTTCAAATCAATGAAATAAACAGGTGTTTTATCATTTTTTGTAATTCATTCCGTAAGAGGGTAAAAAAGGGATGAACATTTTTAATTTATTTGTATAAAACTTTGTACTTTTTAAAGTAATATACCTACACGGAAAGTGGTATTTAGCTTTAAAAAAATAATTAAACATACGTATGTAGTATGTATACCTACTAGATTTTTTAAAATTCATCCCTTAAAAGAGTAAAAGGGTAATGTTTATATCGGAAAATAATAGTTTATGATCAGAGTTATCTGAAACTTGGTATTAATGCTCTTGGCTTTATGAACGTGCTACACTTACCCCCAAAAACAGCAATGCTACTGATTTTAATAACAAATGTAATTTTGATTTTAATAACTTAAGTCCTTTGAAGAGACAGAAATATAATATAGGTCTGCCAATTCAGTGATGCAAATAGATGAAGCAGTTCACTATTCTGTGGTGTTCTGTCCTTCTGAAGGTTGGCACACCTGTTATGAATAAGCCACCTAAGCTGTAGTGTATAATGGGATAAGACTGCGAGTGATCTATAAAAAAATATAGTGGCCACTGAGTTTGCTGGATGTGATCGGCGGTACGGAACTCTCAATGCGCAAGTGAAAATCATACTCACACATTTGAAAATGCCGTCAAATTATATACATATTTGTTATAGCATAAAGCCAAAGACTTTTTTTGTAGTTTCAACGAGGATGAAGCCGCGGGTTCTACTAGTGATTGATATTTAAAAAAAAACATATTCAGTTCATTTGGCAGATTCATTTTCAATGTACCCGAAAGTAGTGGCAGACACGAGATCTGTGGATTTTTTATGTATTTTTACATTTTATTGCCTAGAAGTCGGTTTCTTTTTTATTTTTCCATTTTTAGTGTAGACGTAGAAAGCAGGTAATTTGTAAGAAGAAAGATTTTGAATAACATATTCGATTAAGCAATTTATTATTAGAACTATAAAAAAATAATTTATTGGTTGATTTTTTTAAAAACCACCCGACCGATTTCGATAAAATTTACACTAAACACACAGTGTATATATAAATATAAAACTTATAATGTTTCGTTTTAATTTTTAAATGTAATTTAGAAATAGATTACAATTATGACATATAAAATAATGTTATACATATATAATGAAAACTTTAGATGTACCGTCTACATTTAGATTAGACAATTTTTGTCAGCACAACCAATGCCCGCCAGAATCTGACTCTAACGAGCTCTAAGCGCAGTGCGCAGGACACATAGCGAACTAGGCGTGTGGGCATCCTCATAATTTGTGATTGAGATTGAGATTGTTGTTTTAGATAGTTATTCCACTGGATCAATCGCAGGATCAATTATTGCAATACATTCTCTCGATAGACTCGTATCTCGAACTCTCTCGGATTCGGATCTGCAGCCGTACATGCTAAACACTAGACCCGTGAGGCAGCTATGATATTAAAAGCTTCAGTAGAAAAGAACTATTTAGATTAACAAACATGTTATCAACACTTAAGTTACCATTTTTGTTTAAAACTAGAATGATTTATCATATTTCTTTTTTTCTTTCAATGCGTTTTTGTCGCACTAAAGGAAATAAAACACCGAAATACATTTTATACTTTATTTTTCTTTGAAAAATAAAAAAAAAACAAAATTTAAACTCTAAACATAAGAAATACAAAACCTGCAATTATTTACCATTCAACAGTAGAATGAAAATAATAATAATCAGAATTTGTATAAGTCTATAATATTAACTTATCAATAAACTATAAACTTTTTTAAATTATGAGGTAGATGATTTCAAATAGTCTTTAAAATCTTATAAATAGCTACATTATTATGTCTACGTACTAAAAATTAAGAAACCCGTATTTGTAATACCTAATTTCGAATAGTTTACATAATATTGCTTATTGTTGAATGACTTTTGCTTGTGTCACCAAGTGTGCCTGCCGTCATCACGTGCAAGGAGCTGACTTCCCTGACTGCTAAATAAATGCTGCTACGGATATGTAAATTAGTACATATTTTTAATGACAAAAATTCGGTGTATAGTCTAATTATATTATAGTGTACTTACATTCAAAATATGTGGCGTAACTGTCGTACTTAAATCTTATTTATTTCATTTTCTTCCTGTGTAGCTCTAACAAGGATGAGCTTGAAAGCTGTGATAATATAGTATTGACAAGACTGTAGTTGTTAATACGTAAAGAAAAGTTGAACTTAAAATGAAATCTGTTTTTAACTTTGAAATATGCATTTTTGCAATAAAACTCACTTTTGTAACGTATATATATTGTACCTTGTTTTGTTTATAGATACCTTGCGCTTAGATCCTCTAACAGGTTGTTACAAGTAAGTTTGTTCATTCTTAATGAGCTTATAAAACTCTGCACAAATTTGAAAAACTGTTATCATATTTCTAGCTGGCGATACATAAATGATTTAACAATGAACATTTAACTTAAATCTATGCTATAATTAATATTACATAAAATAATATGAGGTAGGTTTTTTACTATGAGGTAAATATTCTACTTTATAAAATATGTTGGCAACTATATATATTAAAAAGTAAAAACAATTATAAAAATTATATCTATTGGAAAAAGCGATTGAAATTCAATACATTTTGTACTAATGTTTTGTCTTTAGTAGTACCCTTATTTATCTTATTCTAAGATCTAATATAAATCGATGGGCTCACGTTATTGTTGTTCATGGCAAAAATATGCAGTGGTATAAATTACTTTTTTAAAATTGTGAAATACATCTAATTTGGTAATAAATTCTAATTTCTTAGGTTTTTAGGGTCTTAAGTACTATCATTTTATTGAAAAAGAAAAAAAAATTAAGTCGTTACTCAAAAATAAATGAATCATGCCTGTACTTAATTGACATAAACCTTTATAATCTAATATAATAAATTTATTGCAACAGCATTTTCGCTTTGGCACATAGAGTTCCACTGTATTGATTCTATATTTTATCCTGTCAATATTTTAATTTGCCTTATACGTGTTGTATTTTAAATAAGATTTACTCGATCAAAGTAATTGAACACGAACACAAATTGATACAACTTTGGTTTGAATATTTGCAATTAAAATGTTTTACTTGTTTTGCTCATATCAGCACCCAGCTGGTCCTCTAAATACGAGTAATATTGCGCAGAGGCTTGAAAAAACAAGTTTAGCAAGCGTTTAAATTCACATCGGAAGTACTTTTTGGATATCAATAATAACAAAAAGACTTACTAAGTTACGCCTGTGTTACGTTCATAGCCTGATACCATATTCTAACTTAAAATAACTTTAAACTTAAATATAACTTTAAGTCGGTTGTAATAGAATATAGCAACAAAATTAATAATAATCATACAAACACACACAACTTTGGATATACAATATTATGTAATAATATAGGTATCGAACACTCGAACACATAAAATTTGTACTACATTACATTTGCAAACTTAAATCATAAAATCTAAGAGTAAAATAGTTTTGTACACTACGGTGTTACACTGATCAGTCTTGTATTCAAAATGTATAAAGTTTGATCTTTGTAAAAATGAGGTAGATAGTTGTACTTACTTATGTACTTTCATGTAAGTATTCCAAAGCTGTTATAATTTTTGGATTTCAGTACTAATATATTAAATATTAATCCCGCCATAAAGAAAAAATTGCAAACATGAACGAAGAATATTACAGGACTACTGCTGCTGAGGGCTGCTGGGTACACTTCCCTGTGAACTACTAGAATTCTTTGATTGCGAGTCATCCTTTTTCTTCTCCACCTAAAACATACGACAAAATTAGAGTGTGTTCAGTGTTGCATGGTTTTTAACCAGTTTTTTTATTAAATTTTCTTTACAAATTATATATTAGTATTTTAATAAGCTTTATAATATAACAAAATGTTTATCCCTTTATCGATTTAACCTAGAACAATTTCCATATAATAGTTGATATTTCTTGTGTTTAATACGCATAAAATAACATTAAACTCATAATTTTATGTATTAAGCACTTCTTAAAAGACATAACAACCTCGTCGCATCGCCACTACTGGTGACAGGAGGGCGGGCGCATATTTCGCCCAAAGAATTGGCATTGCCATTCAACGGAGGAATGTGGCTAGCATTCTTGCCACTATTCCACATAGACATGACTTGTAAAGTAATAACTAAGTAAACATTTATTTTGTATATATAATTAAGTATATTTGTAATTTTCTTTATTGTAAATTTAAAAAAATGTATTGTATATACAATGAAGTCTAAGCAGCAAAATTATTGATTATATCAATAACTTTGTCATTATAATTAAAATATGTAGAGGTCAAACCATGATCTCTTAGTACCTTTATTGGACAGTCAGCTATCAGATGATCCTCACTCTTGCAATTGTGGCATCTCTTTGGTTGTGGGCCCATGCCGCATTTAGCAGCTATATGGTTAGCAAATTCACCACAATTGTAACAACTAGAAATAAAGAAATATTTATATTAGACTAGCAGAACCCGCAGCTTGGCTCGCTCTAAAACTACAAAAATAATCTAAAAAGGTAGGTTTCATATAAACTTTCCCATATTTTTCCCTCTTATGGGATGAATTTCAAAAAATGCTGAAACACATTTTTATTTAATTGTATTAAAGAGCATTAATTTCAAATAAATTATAAATACCAAGTTTCAAATAATTCTGACCATAATTTTTCTTGGCTTATATTATAACGTGTTTTCCCATATGAATGAGATAATCTCTGGTAAAGGGTAGCTATATCACTCTCCAGCCCTCCAACTATCTCCACATAAAAAATCACGCCAATCCGTCACTCAGTTTTGACGTGAAAGAAGGACAAACAAACAAACAAACAAACAAACAAACAAACAAACAAACAAACAAACAAACAAACAAACAAACAAACAAACAAACAAACAAACAAACAAACACTTCCATATTTATAATGTTAATAGGTATGGATATGGATTTCTAATCTAACTGACATTTAACTTAGATAACAATATGTAACCATTATAACTAGCGCATTTTTATAAACATTCAATATTTAATATTTATAAATATTTCATAATATTATATGACACATTTGTTTTCTTCAATTTGTAAAACTAAAAATTATATAATTTATTATGAACGTGAGTGGGCTACCCATTAAATTAAAAATATATAATAATTAATATGAACAATAGTTTCGTTTTATATGATATTCTATACCGTATCTTCCTGAATCTTTTTTTCGACAAGGGACGCCGATGTGAACCCTGGCAATCGACGGAAGAAGGCCCAGACACGCGTGTCGCCTCCAGTCCTTTGTCTGACTCCTTACATTCGAACTCTACAACTTCCTCGTCACCAAGCGATCTGAATCCTGGCATTTGTATGACACTCTGAAATAAAACAATTCCATTTATAGCTCCAATTTTTTGGTTTATGGTGTTACGTGGTAATATAGTATCGTTAACAACAAAATATTTTTAATTAAGTATATAGAGTGTCACATTCAATTGTATATAATATATTCTCAACATCCGATTAAGAATGGCATTTGAATATTATATAATTGACCTTTTTTTTAAATTTCCTTAAAATCCAATTATTCTTTTTCAATTTTCTTATAACTTATACATTGAGAAACTATTTGTTTATGTAGGATTTACTTCTCCGTTGAGCATACAAATTTCATGTAGCACACGAATGAGGTAATTGGCCATTTAGCTTAGACAAGATGTAATATTCGATATTCTTCCAACAAAAACTGGTAAAGTATAAGTTGTTTTGTTGCATTCAGTTACGATAACAATATTGCATTTTCGAAGATAACACTATTCATTGTAGGAGTTATATTACAAAATTCCAGATATAATTTATAGTAAAATCAAATATGAATGAAATTGGTATCGTAGTCTTGACCTAATATTTTTTGACGCCAGCGTTCTTGTAAAGGACCGAAGCATAAATTTGGTGGCACAAATGTATAGAAAAAACATCCGGAGTTGATAACATGAACAAACAAACATGCACGCTATCAGCTCGCTCGCTAGATACGTAGTGTGTTTTCTCAATGGATATGGCTTACACAAAACTCGAGAAATTTTTAAATAATAGGTATATGCAATATCTTCAAACCTTTGAAGAAATTCAGTCGTTAACTACTCATCTTTCCTCTTTCCTTTGTTACTTTACTGTTAAATTAAATAAATACTCGTACTTACAAAATAAAGTAAATCGTGTATTTTTGTATGTGTTTTTATGTTACAAGTACTGGGTTTTTATTTTCTTTTACAAAACTAACGTAATAATTACATAATCAGTAATCCATATTACTACTATACATTTGAAAGTAACTGTGTGTTTGTTTGTTACCTTTTGTACGCTTAAACCATGGATATCGATGAAATTTTGCAATAAAATGGATTGCATCATAAAGATGGGCAAAGGCAACCTTTTATTTCCGCCCCACTTAACAAACGAGCAGAGTCACTACCAAATCCTAGTATTAAATAAATTAAATAGTCACCTGGTGTACGAAAACATCTTGACCACCATCGTCGGGGGTAATAAAACCCCAGCCTTTGGCCACATTGAACCATTTGCAGCGACCCCGCCGTGTTACGCCTATCACACCGGCACCGCTTGCATTCCCCGCACCTATAATGTAAAAAACATGTTTTATAATATAAAATTTGATATTTAAACTTATATTTATTTTAAAGATATGCTCTTATTTTGCTATTAACCTTAGTCATATAAGTCCTTATATAAATTATTATATATTATGTTAACAATTTTTAAATCCTTAATTCCTTAAACCACAATCGGCATAAAAAGCCCCTCAAAATTATCTCTAACAAATAAATTCGTAACTTTTTATACCAAAACATCGTAATAATGTATCTAATAACTGATAAGCAATTAGTAAAGTAGGGCAACACATGCATATGTAATGTTAATATAACCATTGCATTTTTTATGTTTATCATGCAGCTTATCTGTTTTATTTTGTGAAACATAATTAATTAAAGCCACCTGAAGGAACTTAGAGAAAGTTGTAATTGAATTTCAAAACGGTACACATTTGACTAGTCGTGTGATTACATTAAGTGGATCGTCCCCTCTTTAAAAGCATACATATTTAGACATTTCACCATTCGGAAATCTATTAGCAATAAATAAGGGCCCACGATCATTTACAGGGCTAAGAAAGGGTATACTACTCCCCTTATCGGCTCCTTAACAAAAAATAACGTGGGAACCGTAAGAAAGAATTCACTATACTTGTTAAGGTTGAAGACCTCATTTAAAGGATTAATAATACAGATACGCGTTTTTAATTAAATGCCTCACAAACATCATAAATATTTAGCAATGGAAAACTGCGCCATTTACAAATCGAAGAATGATGACTAATCTATATAAGTATTTCCGGAAAATATTTTTAATATGAACTTTTTTTATTCCTAGAAAAATGCTATGACAAATAAAAAATATTATAAATTAGTATGAGTAATACCTTTAATAACTAAATTTTAAAAGTACCAATCTAAATATACAAATCATTACTTACGTAGGTATAATATATAACAATTTGAATGCAACAGCTAAGATTAAGACTTTTTTTATCATTTTAATTACACACATCCTCGACTATATTATATACAAATATTATAAAGTTTATATTAATATTAGCTATTCTATACATATATTATTCTACTAAATAAAATTTATCAAAGCTAAACTGAAAAAAATATTAACAATGTAGAGAATTATAAAAACAAGTGAATCGATTGATAAATTGTTTATCTACGCAAATGTAAACGGATTTCACAGTTTTATTTGTACGAGTATATTTGCTAGACCTAACATATTTGTGTGCTAGGGTAAGTTAAGCATATTATTTCGGGCAGCAGCGGCGGTAGGTAAAAGCGGCAACACACGTGGCCGCGACGACGGGGACTCGAAGAATGTGCGGTATTTAGGTTGCGTTTCTGGTACCTCTTCATTCATTGCCGTAACACTGCACCTTGCCGTACCTCGCCCCCCGACGCCATGTCGTCAAGAATCAACCGCACACCAGTAGATACTCAATATTTATTATTCCCTATACCATATTAATGAGAAAGCGTAAACGCTCGGTCGATGTTTGGCTATTTCGTCATATGCATTTTTACGTACATTAAGTATTTAATAATATTTATAAAAAAGAACTTTTACTATTATGACTTAATACGTTAGAGTACTTGAATTGATCAATAAAATAAAACTTATTTGCGTAAAACATCTCCGTTATAGCCAGTCCAAACACACGGTCTATATTTATCTACTATGAGCTTTACATTGAAGAAAATATTTTATCGCTAATATAGACATAAAAATTTAGTAGGGACATTTGAGTTTTACAGCTCTCTTCCGATATTAACATGCCTCATGCATTATTTACTCTGAGATGAGTTTTGGTTTTCTTTAATATTTTTATAATTAACAAACAATTAGAATAACTGAATTAAGATACACTTTATAAATACCATACAAAAACATATCAATTTTTAACAGTAAGGCATAATTTAATCCTTAGCTCTTTTTATCAACTAATTGTGATTCAAAAATCTAATGCCTACTTCAGTGCCTTACACAAATATCGCGGAAACTTTATTTTTCGTTCTGTTTAAAAATACTATAATTGTATTGCTGGGGAATTCATTCAAGAAGTTTTAACTTTTTTAGTTTAAGGTTGAATGAGATGTATGTACGAGCACATTCACTCGCTACTCTCGTATTAATGTAATGGACTCAAAGGAGTAATATTTGTACAAAACATTCCGAAATAAAGAGAAGTGGTATATTCATACAAAAGGGATTGACATGCTTCCTCTAATGATTATGTTGGTCTCGATTTAAGTGTATAATAAAAGCTATGAGTATATTCATGCTTTTATAATAGTGAATCATAGTTATGAGAATATAAAAGGCTTAGAAGTAGAAAACAGTAGAGACGTCTGAAAAGTATTAATTCCATTTAGCTTAAGAAATATTTTGAATTATAAAAAAATAAATAAATATACATTAAACATACGATTACTAGATATCCTAAAACTTCTTTGGCACTTTGTACTTTTCTTCAATATTCTAATCTTATCAATTTTCTTCAATATTTATATCTTATTAATTTTATTCGCCAAAACCATATTTTTATGAAATTACCTATTTTAACTTTTATTTGTTAGAAGAAACATTAGAATTAAATGCATATTTTATTTCTAATGAAATTATTCATAACTGTCCATAATATAGATTCTTATAAAATGAAGAATGAAAATGACCTCTGAGATTATTTATCTTGTATTTTAGAATGATTGCTTGATGACTTGCTACTATTACCTTAGAGAAGTTTGTAATGGAAACTAACAATAAACAACAAAAATGTGGAGTATTTTTATCCCCCTCATTGTGAATACAGGACAAGTGCAAGCGGCGGTAGCGCAGGCGCATCCGAGTCGTGTATCTGTTATGTTTACTCAGTGTGGAGCGCGTGAGTCGACGCCCGCACCGCGCCCGCGGCCCCCCGCCCGCCCGCACCCGCGGCCCCCCGCCCGCCCGCATCTACGCCCTACCACTAAAACATACACTTAGGAATTTCAACTTCATATGCCTGCTTAACTTTTGATTGCATTCCATTAGACAGTGCCCTCAAATATTTGTAGATAAAATATTCCCTAGTTTTATTTTCAGGCTATATACACCCACATATATACGATTTGTTTAATTATTTTATGAAAACGTTTACGATCATTAAATCGTTTAATCATACATCTTCATTCATAGATAGAACATAATTTTATGGAGAATATTTATAAAAAATATAGAAGCTCATAATTTTTATCAATTTACTTACGACATAATATTCTTTATTAAATTACATTATTAAGAGTTGTTTATATTCAGTTTAAAAAATATATAACTAATATTACCTACAACGTATTTTAATAAAACAAAATATGTGTATAAACATACAAGTGCTCTACAATTTTAAGTTATAAAGACATACCAGCTTGTTCATCTACGAATGAAAATAACCTTAGAAATACTCGTATGTGAAAAATTCACTTACATCTACGAAGCATGAGGAAGATATCTTGACATTCTTGTCTTATTGTTAGTTCCTTAGGCGATTACCTTAGACTGTTTCGAGTGCGAGTTAATTTAAGCTACTTTATTTTAAAAGCAGGAAGGGGATCTGCATATTTTTACACGGTTCGAAAATTACTACGACTCGGAGATATACGTGTCTTATTTTAATTATAACTAAGTTAGTATTAATTATAAACTTTTAGGCATTGATATCAGAATCTAAGCGGAAGTGGCTATTTATTTTATCTCATTAATATTCCTTATTAACAGTTTACAGCGATCGTAATCAGAATAAATTTAAATCAATTCTATGACAAATACAAATACCAAACACTTTATTATAAATTACATGAATAAAGAATATTTAACTGTTGAGTATTTTTTTTACAGTAATGGGTTTAAAATTAGATGAACAATGGTATAAATTATGTATATCAAATCTAGTTCATGATAATTTACGAATGATGATTTTTGGGGATTTATGGTGAAGGATAAAGAGAAAGAAAGAAAGTAGACATTTTTTGAACATTATCAGATGAAAGGGTTAGCTGTGGCGTAAGTAAATATAAACAATATTTTTAATTAATTACGCATACCTTAAAATATATTGCAGAACAAATTATTTTTAAACTGGTTAAAAGTTAAAAAAAATATAGAGCCTTACTCGAAAATACAGCAATACCTTTGTCTAGTTACAAACTCTCTTTTACGTAAGTTCGAGTTTATTTTAAACATTTTTTTAAAATAATAATTATTTTATTTATAATCTAATATGGATATTAGATTAAAAATAAAACTAAACTAAACTTAAGTAAATTCAACATTTTTATCAGTAATCCTATATTATGGCTATTATGTACATTTAGCAAAAATAAAAATTTAATCTTATTACATACTTTGAAATATAAACACGATAGGTCAATTTACGAATTTATTTCCGGTCAAAAATATTTTACTATAATTACTCGTTAGGGCGGCGTAGATCAAATAAAGTATTACGCATAAGTTTAAACAACTATAAGGTATAAACGAAAACGAGTCGCGGTCTCGATTGACATGCATTGAATAAGAATTTATTTAAATAGAAATGCACATAGTTTAGTATTCCGTTATTTTATGGTTCTCCATTATTTGTATGCTTATAAATATGTCAAAATGTAAAGTTACTTAAAAAAATCCCAAGAAAAATTCTTCTAATACTCTAAGTTATTTTAGTAGTAAAAACGCGCAAACGAAAAAGCTCCGGTACGTAAGTAATTCTTAAGAATATTCTGCCATTCATTGCTTTTTTTGCTGTTATCAATCGCAGGTATGGAATTTAAACATGAATCATTGTCAAGTGGCGCTTGTGTTCGGGATCTTTATGTAAGAGTGAAAGAGACGGTTAAATGTACCACCATTCAGACTTAATTGACTGGCTACGGGTTCGGACCCTGTCGTAGGGACGTAGCGTTATTTAACATCGACTTTCTAAAAATTCCAAATAGGTATTTCTTCTGCCACTCTCTATGAATAACAATTCCTTTTGGGTATAACGCGCTCATGTCTTACATTTATTTACTACGACCGTGTAGCATCGTTTGTGACCAAAGTGTTACGACCGCTCATTGAAATTCAATCATACTCTTATTCCATGATGCAATAGGGGACTTCCAAACCTTAGATATTGCATGAACAAATTTGAAACCATGTAAACATATCGATACGATGCTCTTCACTATTCATTTGATATGTCAACGACAAAAACAAGTAGTGGAAGAATGGCGGGGTACGGAGATTGTAGTCCTTCGAATATGCAGTCGGTCCAATACGCACACTACCTTCTGTAACTCTCACAAATTAAAAGAAAACCATGTAAACATTGCCAAAATATAAACTCTATAGACGTAAGTTATAGAACTTAAAGTTGTTAATAACTCTCTAGCGCATGGATGCGCTACGCCGGCGAGTAACTCCGTTAAGTTCCGTAAAAGTTCCGTTTAGGAATCGAACGAGTATAGTAAACAATTTACGGCACGATGCGTAACATGGTTTGCAATAACATCGAATATTTATTTTAGTAAAACAATAGGTGCCTCATGTATTTTAAGATAGCCGTGTCACTCCAGGCAATAAACAGAGTCATTTAAATTCCATAGTACCTTTTATAAAATACATATATACGTATACATTTAGTAGTAAACATCAAGATTATTTTATTTATTGCTAGTATTTCATCAATTGACAAATGAAACTTTCTTCAAACGATAAACACAATAATATTCTTTAATTACCACGCACTTATAATTAAATAAATATTGTTGTTGATGAACATGATACGAAGTAAACATGGTACGCATATGTGCGACATCAATGAACAAGACTATTAACCTCAATTCGAATAATTTCAATGATGTTGTAAACAATTTCTATGATTGGCTTCCCAGGCCCTACGAGTGACACATCCGCTCGATAAGGCTACAAGTTCCAATCTATGAATTTACTTTTATGTATACAAACCCCGTAAACACGTGCTTTATGAGATAACAAACAAATAAAAAAAACATATTATAAGACACCAATAGAATTAAGATTTTTTAATAGATATTTATACTAAAAAAATACTATACTTACTCGAAGACGGAACTGCATTTCCGCCTTCCCTCCCGCTCATGTTAACTAAAATATCTTAACCGCACCACTATTATCACCTCTGCGTAACATCCATCCTCCGCGTGAAGAAAAGGCACTTTTTTAGTTACAGTTCATTGAACGTTTATAGTTTTTTGATACAAATAATCAACTATCAAAATTCATTAAATGCATGAGAGGAACGCGCGTGCGCGCGTTGCGACCAGCAGCGCGTACGCAGGTCGACTGCATCGAAAATGAGTGGCAGTGGTGAGGAGTCGACGACGCGCGGTGATGTGGTCCGTCCCTTCCCGGATATAGTAAAGCAAGTAGTTTTTAAAATAGAGAAGCTAACGGAACGTGTGCGCCGCCCGAAAGCGCCGCCTGCTTTACCCCAATCCAAAATATGTCACTTGTTGACGAGGTGTAGGACTATCGTGTGCTAGTGTAGAGAACGCTCGATGATTAAGAAAGGGAACGACGTAGAGTCGTAGAGCCGTCGTCTTTATGCTATATTTTTTTTACTCGTATTATAATTAAAGTCTTATTTGTATTTAATTATTGTAAATTAATATAAATAGCAATTTTAGAGTAACTATTTTTTAAACAATGCTATGCTATCAACCGAAACGAATGATATTCTTATCAAGTTCATTGATAAACTAGCTCCAATTAATAGATCATATATTTTATTCAAATTTATTACAAAAATATCTCTTTTTAATTTTGTTATAAATTACCACATGTTAATAAATCTATAATCAAAACATCAATATATATATATATATATATATATATATATATATATATATATATATACATATATATATATATATATATATATATATATATAATATAATTTTAACGAGGTTAAAGACGTACATTATTATTAAGCTTTTATAAAAAAAATATGTTTCGGGTATGTAATGGAAGGCAAATTCACAGTTGATTAGAGCTTGATCGTTAGTCACAGCTAACAGTTAGGGTGCATTTTAAATACAACTATCTTTTCGGATTTTTTCTCGAATTCATTTTGATTTTTGGTTCCCGACGTTTCGAATGTTTTACAGCAATCATGGTCACGGGAGAGACTAAGGTGTAAGATGTCTCAAAAGCATTATATAGTTGTTACAGACAGACTACCCACAAATTAACAAAAATGAATTCAAAAAATTCAAAAATGACAGGTTTGGGAGCAATAAGATGAATTTTAATGACACTTTAGTGTTGCACTAAAGGAAATACATTCCTTTAAGAATATTTAATTTAGCTAATAAACTACGTATCTATCAGTCAAGTATATCGAAAAATGCGCGCTTGGAGCTCTCAACCCCACGCACAGCCATACAAAGCGCAAACCATGTGAAGTGGACGTAATAAAAATATGTACTGGAGTGAATCCACACACAGTAGCTTGGAAGTATAAATAATACATGCTAAAATAATAATTAGATGTACGTATTTTGTATATAATTTAGACTGATTTTAGCACACTTTACGTCAAAATAAGTAAATAGATTTCAAAAAATGTAACTTTCATTTAAAACGATTACTAATATTGTCTATTTGTATTTTATTTCTATGTATATTTATTAATTTTTTATTTCTATGTATTTTTTATATTTTATATAAAAAATGTAATAGTATTATTGTCTAGTGGCCTGCGATCAAAAATATATTTTTTTAATTAAATGAATATATAATAGATGGAATGAAGCAAACATTTAGAGAAATAAATTCTCATAAACACGTCTACATTATTTTATCACTTCTTTGATTAAGTATAAGAAAAAATTGAATGAAATTAAGTAATTTTAAATTAATAAACATACGTCTTAAAACCCACTTTTCTGGAATGCGAGTTTAACTGGAACTTTATAACGAACATCAATCGAGATAAGTTTAAGTTACACAACTGTGAATGGCGTTATAGGGAATTTGATTATAATAGATTCTTCTAAAACAATAAATTGTACATTTTTTGAATAATCTCAGATTTTACTAATATACTTTAACTATTTCTGAAAAATAGACTCTCCAATACCAAAAATCATAAATATTGTGCCTTATCGTAATGTAGTGTATCTATTTGCAATATAGTAACAGGTTTATTTATTATAATCGTATCAATTCTCGTCTTAGAATTCAAGCCAACCGTTTCCTCACTATCCAGGAGACCTTTTTTCTTCCATAATAATATTCCATAGAAATAAAAATATCAAATGTTGCTCTACCAAATTTCATTCAACTTTAAAAGTGCTAAAGGCCTCAAAAAGGAACGAAAGGACATATTTTGTAATATAAATAATAATTAAATTTCAGCAAAGTATGGTGAAATTCAAAAAGTCGAGGTTTTTTCCTAAGCGGTCAAGGAAGTCCCCTTCACTGACTTGTCAAATGGTGACGAACTTGCCTGTTGGGCCCATTGTCGGTCATCTAATCCTTGAATGATTATGCATCAAAATTGTTTGACAATAGAATATCTACTAGAAAGACAAGTTTTCAAAATAATAAAACCCGACTGATTGTCACATTTACTTTCTCTTTACTTTTCCCCCTTATAAACATCGTTACTAGTTACCGATATTATTTTTTAATATGCATATTGTGAATCAAGTCAAATTTAAAGTAACTTATTCCATTGTACAATACTTCCCCTTCAATCAGGTCATTTACATTAAATAAATTATACATCAATTCAATAAAGTACATGTATAATTGTTAGAATTGTTCCCAATCGTTGTCTTCAAAACTCGTCTTAATATTTGATTATGAAACTTTAAATATATTACTAGTAAATTATTTTTAGTATTATAGTCATTCTTCATGTTATTTAGGCGTAATACCCTTGTGAGTCATTTACAATACTTAGAACCGTAAAGCTAGGACTGACTCACTATGACCTTTCGATAAACTTTCCCGATTGAATGTGCCTGAAATAATGTTTAATTTATATTTATAATTTATTAATAAAATATATAATTTTACAATTTAATATTAAATAATATTTACATATTGTGGAAAAAATATATGTTACTAAACTTAATTTATTATTTTATAACAAGAAATTACTTTACATAGTACATATTATGAAAGTAAGCGGCATCTATGTATTTGTATTTGAATGATCATATATATACTGCCAAAAAAATACTGAATGTAATAATAGATGGCAGCACATTTAACGCTACTAATGCCATCTATAATAGAATTGAAGCAACTACTTAACAAAAAACAGAACATAAATTGGACCCTCAATTCTAATAAGATAGGGCGGCACCCTAAACAGGGAAATGGGTGGTGCCTGTATAATAAGAACCAGTAGGTAGTTTATTTTAAATATTATATTGATCAGTAAATTATAAGACATAGGAATTAGGAAACTCTCTAAAAATAAATAATAGAAAATATTAGTTTATGTTGTAAAAAAAATGAATAACATTAGATATAAATTAGCAATATATAAAATTGTAATTACATATTTTGATAATTTATATTAAAAAAATATTATTGATTGAAACAAATATACACGTTAGTATAAATATTCAGCTTGATATTAAATACTTAAGTAGTTTTAATGTAACTAAGTATTTTTAATCGTTTTAATGAGAACGTTAGCAAAAAAATACTATACGAAAACCTATAATTTTCACTTTTCCTATTTATAAGTAATTAGTACATAAAATACAATGTGATTTATATACAGTTAAATTTATTAATTCTAGAAAAATTAAACGTACCTATCTTTATTCCGACTTTTTTGGCACTTCTTTCCCGCCCTCGCTTCATAGCGATCTCAATGGTATCTCTTTTTCCGCAAGAAACCTTTCATATTCCAAGATAAAGTGTAATAATGTAGCCTATTTATATCAAAATTGTCTTTTTCCGTCCACCTCACGTTAGAGGCGGAATTGTTTCAGCACTTATAATATGAACCTATTTTAAAAATACATACAGATGTGCTATCATTATTTATTTGTAAGAAAAAATCAATAATTAACAGTTTTATAGTAGTTTCTCTGAGAGCCTAGTTAATTCTTATTATATCATACATACTAATATTATAAATGTGAAAGTGTTTGTTTGTTTGTCCTTCTTTCACGTTGAAATGGAGTAAAGGATTGGCATGATTTTTTTGTGTGGAGATAGTTGGACGGCTGGAGAGTGACATAGGCTACTTTTTATCCCGGGAAATTACATAATTCCCACGGGAAAACACGTTATAATACAATCCAAAAAAATATTTATTATCAGAATTATTTGACACTTGGTATATATACTCTTCAATAAAATTAAATAAATACGTGTCTTAGTATTTTTCAAATTCATCACATAAGGGGGTAATATAGGGGATGAAAGTTTGTATAAAACTTATGAAACTACCTTTTAAGATTAAGATTTTTTCATAGTTTTAGCGCGAGCGAAGTCGCGGGTTCTGTTAGTATAATATAATTTGATTTGTTGCCTTTTTCTGCTAGAATGATAAACCTTACTTGCTTAAAGTCGCTATGCTGTGTTATGTCCAATCAAATTCAAATTAAGAGCCGAGTCGAAGCCTCGAGAGAGGTCGAGGCGCTATCGTGACGTTCGTTGAAGATGTCTTGGTAATATTGGATGATCGTGGAGAATCATTGGAGTGTTATTTGTTGAAGTATGATAGGTGTCGAGAAACTGCTGCTGGATTAAACTATTAGAAACATCGTTTCAAGCTTATAACATTGTGATTTCCCGTATTAAATTGTATTAAGCAATAAATACTTTATTTTAGGCCCGCATGGAGCCCTGATAACGCCCACAAGGTTCGTAACCACTAACGATGATATCGGTAGAATTTGGATACCCCGTCAAATATACGTATATGTATGTATATTAACATTAGCATTACCATTCAAAATATTTTAATTCGCAAATAATCTAGTAAGAGCCGCTAATTGTTAAAAATTTATAGTATAAACATTTTAAATAAGCTTTTATTTTAATAAAAGCTAAGAGGAAGAAAATAAACCTTAAAATTAATCAAACCTACTAAAACCATAATTTTATTTTAATATACCTAGTTTATAGGTAGGTACTTTATGTGATATAAAAACTTATCGTGAGATATTCCTGAGTAAAATCCGTAGAGTAGAGAGATAGATTTGTGCTTAGAGTTGATTGAGTGTAACATAACCTTCACTAAATAAAAGCAATTTTTACGATAAACTTTTTATTAAAATTAGTACATTAAAACACTTTACAAGCTCTTACACATAGAGAAATAAGTTGTTTAGATATTATCCAGCTGATTAATGTCCCAAGATCTATCCCCATTAACAACATCTTCTATCTGAATCACTCCAGAACCAATGTAAGGAAATATGCTCTTTTGAACAGATTAATTTCATCTAAGGGTGATATGGATATTTTTGCTGTGATGATTATGCCTTTGTTTACAAATTTTTAGACATTATTAGTATTTAGTAGTTAATATTGTAGAAGTAAAGTAAAGTAACACACGCAAAATAGGCGCATAGTCGTCGAGTTGCGGAAACCAGCCCGAACATACCATACCATACCATACCATATTGTAGAAGTATTTTTAGCACTGTTTTATTATACATTTGATTTGATGTTCTTACGTCATACATTTAACTGTCTCAACACTCTTCTTAGTTTGTGTGTAACAAACATTTTTTTAATCGCACGCAAACATTTACAAGTGGGTGTACCTATACACCTGTAAAGGCGAATCCTACCGAATTGCATGTACATATGTTGGTACAATAATTATTATGATCATCGCGATAAGTTGATGTATGTAAGTGTATCTTTCGAATAAAATAAACAAAATATTAAAGTATAAATAATATGTGTACTATATAATCTATATATACCTACATAAAATGCTTTGTCCTGACTGGCTGACTGCCTGATCGATCAACGCAAAGCCCAATCCGCTGGTCGCCGAAACGTGAAATTTGGAGAACATATTCCTTATACAATGTAGGCATCCACTAAGAAAGGATTTTTCGAAATTTATCCCCTAAAGGGGTAAAATAGGGAATAAAAGATTGTATGAAAAACTTGTACGGAAAGTGGGTATTTAGCTTTAAAATAAAAATAAGAAATATATGTATTAGACTTTTTTCGAAGTTCATCCCTTAAAGGGGTAAAAGGGGGCAATAAAGTTTATATGGGCAAAAAATAATTTATGATAAATTACTTGAAACTTGGTATTCATGCTCTTTAATACAATTAAATAAATATATGTTTTAGCATCTTTCGAAATTCATTCCCTAAGGGAGTAAAATGGGGGATGAAAGTTTGAAGTGTTGTTGAATATACATAATTTAAACAAAGTAACATAGAGAACGGAGATTATTACAAACCCAAAGGAAAATTATGTATAACTTCTCAGTTGACCACAGCAGTGGCAACTATAATAGACTTAGAACGCGAGATAGAGAGCATCTAGCTAGAGAAAATCCTGCTATCTATATCCATCTTCTGAAGGTTAGCACAACTGTAATCAAAAAGGCACCTAAGCTATGTAACGGGATTACACTGTGAGTGATTCATTAAACATCATAGTGGCCACTGTGTTTGCTGAATGTGCTCGGGGGGAATCAAAATTCATACCTCGAATACCACTGATACCTTCTGACTACGCCTTTATTCTATTTTAATTCCTCCTTAAAGTTCTTTCTTAAATATATCTCAAGACCAGTCGTTAAAAGAGGATATCTCCTCACAAGGACATTTTAGCAGAACCTAGAATTAGACAGAACATCCATCAGTATGGTATGTTTGTGGTTGGGTTTTTTATGTAAACTAAGTTAAGTGAATCTAGAGTTTTTCTCTAGACATAATATTGAAAGTTCGATATGACAACATATAAACGCAATGGAAATTAAAACTGAGCAAATTTTTCAGTTCCCGCGAGCGTAGCGGCGGGCAAAAAGCTACAGCAAAATAAGGCACTTTATATATGTAACTTAAAGAAGGAGAAGGAGGGAGACTGTAAAGTTCAGGTGTACATAGCATTGGGTCTTTAAAAATAACGTAGATGTTAGCCTGTTAGTATGTTAGTTAAAAAACCCATATTAGCCGAGTTACATGATTCTAGAGTCGTAAACATTGTATGCGATCGTATCATTGTACTCTCTTTACCTTACTTTGGAAAGATGGAGTAAAAAAATGTGTAAAAAGTACAGGTAGTGAAGCTTGCTAAATACCTAAAGTGTAATTATTTACAGAATATACGCTTAACATCTTTTAAGATACTGGATTGTTTGAGTTACGATCGCTAAAATTAAATTTGTTTTGCCGAATAGGCCGAACACTAAATAATAGCCAAATATTCGTTGCAAGTATAAATAATATACATAAGACATCGGATCAGCGATATTTTTTTTTAAGTGTGTAGTTGCTGTTGGCCCTACTGGCCTTGACATCGGGCGGGCAGAAGATCCTGCCTAAAAGTTAGGCATGAAGCTCGAAGGGCACCTCCTGCGAGGTTCGGAACATGACTGACGAAACTATATGGAAGGAGGTCTTGTCGTATATGAGATGGCTTAGAATTATTCTGAAGGAGTCATACGACTCTCACACGCCTAAGCGTAAACGGGCCTTTAAAGCGATTGAAAGTTAATATTTAATTTTACTCCTTAATAACAACAAAAATGATAACTTACACGTCTTCGTGTAAGGCACCACATCACCGTTGATTGTGCCATTCGACACATGCAGAGGCGAAGACTTCGTCGACTCCGGCTCGTGTATGACCTGTGACGTATTCCACGCCACCGCCGCGGCCGCCGCCGCCGCTGCGGCTGCACACACACTGCACTCTGCAACAACCGCAATTTAGTTTTTTTCAGTTAATATTAAAAGTTTTGTGCATTCTAAGTGCTATCTGTGTACTAAATTTTACCCAAATCCCTCCAGCCATTTCAGCCTGAAGGAGTAGCATACATAAACACACATACAAACACATATATAATGGCAGCCTGATTATTATTAGTCTTGATTGATGAATATTTTTTTAGAATATGATCTGGAGTAGATAAATTAGAGGTACCTATTAGGCCCATGGGGTTTTAAAATAAATTAAAACATGGGTTTTTCAAATCTCAATGATGGCAATAAGATTTGAAAAAATAATCACGAAATGACACTCAGTGTAAGAGTTATTGACATTTATTATGATAGGTTCTACTTTATATGCTGAAAACAGCGAGATTCCCGCGCGATAATTAAATGATTAGGTGATTTTGATAATATGTATATGGAAACTATATAACGCTTTTTGTATGTCTCAATATTTTGGATTGTTTATATGCCTAGGAATCCAATAGTTTATGCTAAATATAGGATGAACTTAAAAAACCTTCGTATGGAGATACTACGAACTAAAACTTAGATTTCGAATAGCTTACTATAATATGATGAGAAAGATTTTTTTATGTATCTAATGATAAATAGTAATATAATACTCATCAATTTGGTTTCACTTAATAATTATGTAATAGGTATATTGAGTGTATATAAAATTATTACCGCAGATACATAGATACGTATAACAAATTATTAATAAACAATTTTCTTTTGATTATGATAATAATTTTCTCGTCAGAAATGTTTAATACCACATTATATATAAATAATATACAAAATGTCAATGTGTTTGTCATGGTGCTCAAGTAGCGCTACCTATATATCTTCGTTTTTTTTCTTTTTAATATAAGTAGATCGCAAAATCTTTGCACTTTATTAGCAATTATAGTGTAGATGTCTATTTACACCATGTAACTGAACCAGCTGAAAACTGTTAACTATTATTTATTATCACTCTCCCCCCTTGTTTCACTTGTTAAGCCTACATACATTTTTTTTTACATTTAAGTATCATATTGCTCATATATTTTAAAGATACTAGTAATAAAACTATTGTTCCAGTAGGTATTGTAAATATATGTAATAAAGGTATAGAAAAGCGAAATATCAACATAATATTGTGAAGTTTCCAATAAGAAAATCTAAATTTTAAAACACTAATATACTACACTAATATATATTTTATTATTCTATATGATGTTATTTCGATTGAAAAAAATACATTAAACTCTAAGGATCATATTTTTAGTTGAAGTCTAATAATTTTTATATAATAATATATTCAAGTGTAAATATATATTTCATAAATCAAAATTATTATTTAGATATATTTTCTATAATATGGATTTATTATATAGAAACATTTATCTATTTATTTATTATATAACATACAGATACATAATTTAAATGCGTTCGATTTGATAACATACACCTTTTTTAAATTCTGTATAATACATAAGAAGCTCACCCTTCATGTAAAATTAGAGTCACCCTCCAGAAACCAGCAACCGAGCGTATCACCATATAGTTACTCTAGTATAAAACATTATTTTTTTATTTTTATAAGCGAAAAAAACATTTTGGCATCAATCACAAACACTTGATCACCTATCGCTTTGAGCTACCAGTCTTACTGTTTTATTGGAAACTTAATGATTTACAATATTGCTTATATTGTTGTAATCGTATGATATACATTATAGAGACGTGCTGCGTGTGACGATTTACGAAGAACTGCGTGGTGAATTTTGCGTAGACCAGGGGTCGACGCGCATGGACGGGGGTGAGCTACACTTATTTACCATTAATAATTATGTACTGTTAACACTTTTTTTAGAAATTATCAAAATATTTTAAAACTATACGAATCGGGAATATTTATAAGGAACAAAAGAAAGTCTGTGTTTTTTTATTCTACATATTATAGACAAAAGCTGAAACTAGACACTTATTAAATAAATGAAATTAAATCAGAAAGTATTAAAAAATTCTACTCTCGTTAATCTTTAGAAATTTACGAAGGTCCATGTATGTGATTTAAAAAAAAAATCTTTTTATTTATAATATTTTTTTACCGTGACATATAAGATCCGAGAGTGAGGTCCTATTATCATGTAATATAAAAGTAATTTACTGTAAATGTATATAAATACCACCAATGTGATTTTATATGAATCACTGTATGATGTTTTTTCAAGTAGGTACAATAGGGAAAATAATTTAAAGTTTTTAATAACAGTATTTAATATACTGTCATTAAAAACTTTAAATTATTTCCAAAAAATATATATAAATATAAATGTTACTAAGAATTATAATTCACAAGCTTTTCAGACTAAGTATCGACCTAAGATATAAAAAAAACTCAAAAAAAAGGAACTTACTCATGTAAATATTTTTAGTTTTTACATAATAAACGGTAGAATACACAATACTAATATTTGCGTTATATTAAATTAATTATATCAAAAACGTCTTGAGAATTACAATATTTGTAATATTGTTGATAGTAAAGCAATTTTGACAATTATGACAAATTACTATTTTTTTAAAAGATTTAAGTTAATATGCTTTATTAAATTGAGAAAATAAGCGTTATTAATGGGGGCTTAAAATAAATTATTATTTATGCCCCTATTTTGGTTGCAAAAATGCAGTAAAATTGGTCATAATGACAGTGGCCATATTTGTTCGTGCGACGCATGCGCTGAGTGAATGCAAACAGCCGGCTTGCACATCTGCTGGTCAGCTCGTGGACACAATACTTGCACTAACAACACCATCAACTTATATTAAAATTGATAAAATTCCATTATTTATTATATCATAAAGAATAAAATAATAAAAAGCCGGTCAAAATATATTTTGTATAAAGATATAATATAAGCTTACAAGACTAGAAAAAATATATTAAAACTTTAAAAGAATATATTTTTTATACATATAATTAAGAATTTTTTAGTGGACGAATATTCTAATAAATATAAATCATATCCTTTATACAAAAATAACTCTCAAGCAACCTTTTCACTTTTTACTAAACATATTAATTGCTGAATGTATTAAAATAATCCAGATATCTTTCCTTAAATAGTATAAAGTCATGAAGTTTAATAATAACATTAATAATTTGATTTAATAACATAGACTAATTGAAATTCTCTTTTCATTAATTAAGAATTTGAGATATGAGTATGTGTAATAAATACTGAAATATAATCACTTAAAAAGTAGAGCCATTTCAAATGAATCTTTGACGTGGGTCAGACGTAAATGTCATGGTTACCCTATTGCTACCTGATGGACCCTATGCCTTAAATGCAGACCGCTTGTGCATAGATTTAATGCTCTACATTTTTTTAATTTACCAATATCGGTGATATGCAGATTTTTAGAAAATCATTAAATTCTTTGTTTATGTCGCATGATATATAATAATATAAATACAATAAAAAGAATATAAAAATATCTAATATGAGTTTATATAATTTTTTATTAACTTATTCATTAAATAAAACTATCATTTCGGATTTTTTCGCGGATTTATTTTGATTTTTGGTTCCTGGCGTTTCAAATACTTTACAGCAAACTATATGACCTTGATTACTGAAACGATGTTTTTGAAATGTCAAATATTCGCGTAAATGTAAGAAAGCAACTAAAATACATATGAAATATTAAAAAAAGTTATCAATAAAGATAATAAAAATAAAAGTATCAATGGAAATAGAACGAAGAAAAAACATCACGATTGTATTTCATGAAATATTTACATTTAATAAGCTCTCAGATCAAAGGTCCCTGCTATTTGTACATTGGGGAGGTTTTTTAGAAGCTAAGCAAAAAGTGAACTAATATAAAAACGTGGATTGGACGCGTGTCTGACAACAAGGACAATGGGAGAAAGCATTCGATAATAAGGTTTGGCATACAGAAATCACAAAAAATGTTTTGATAAAAACTATGTTTATGTTCACTTAGAGACAACTCGTAGGTATATTTTAAATACAAAAAATGTGACAAAATATAGAACAAATAAAAAATACCTACTAAAATATGCATCTTACATCAATATTAATAATTACTATTTATGTGCCTAAATAATAACGAGGCGTTATGGTGATAAATATTTAAATTAAATTATATATATTGCTTGTTCGTACATTCGTTAATTCTAAATCATAAATCACGGTTAATCAATATATTTTTACACTCTATGCAATTTCAAGCCCTGGTCCAATTATCACGCAGATGTAGCCGTGAATTTGCGAATGACCGTTGTCTGTCAATCAATCAGAGCTAGGAACAAAAAACTGACCCCTCGTTGACCGAACAAAAAAACTAAGAACGAAGCCGTAAAAAATTATAAATACGACAAAAAAAGCTTAATTTAATGGGAATGCCATTCATGGAGAATAAGCTCACGTGCCACAAATTTTAGTTTCTATTATATTTTTTTGAATATATGTATGTACAATGTACATCGCGTAAATAATACAATTCTTATTATTTGTTTATTAGTAGATATTATGAAATTGGTAAAGCGCTTTATATTCTCTTAGGTGAACCTTATCAAGTAGGTACATCACGCACATTTATATATTTTAATCGTATTCCGTATGCTATGAGTATGTTACGCGATATCTTCGTCAATTTAACCGATGAACCGTGGTCCGAACTTCACTACTCTTTTTTTACCAATGTATCTCCAGGGTGGTCGCATACTAAAGAAAAGAAACTAATGCTTTATTATTTATTAAATATAATAAATAATATTAATTATTATATATAGTCGGTGAACCTTTTGAAAAAACGTTGGTACGTAGAGTTTTGGTATATCAATGGTTAAAAAGTAATCATTAAAACGTAATATTACTCACGTATTTTTGTTCTAATTTTCAACACATACATACATAAATAATTAAATTTAAATATTATCATCTATTAAATATCAATATTTTAAAAGAAATATGCGACAATAATAACATTCTCGGATTCATAAAATTAATTTAGTTTTAATTTACTGGTAAAAAAGTTTAAAAGCTATCTAATTAATAATGAGAACAATCTGTAATTCTAAATAGTAAATCTTATACTGTTTGTTTAACCCTTAAGCTATAGGTGTACCTATATTTAATTACAAGGTAAAGAAATGAAAAAATTGTAATACAGTGTGATGCTACACGTAACGTAGACC